GTGAAGATCAAGGAAGCCCAGGTGTAAATGTTGTGAAATCAACAGACTTCATCTCCCAGAGCTTTGCAAACTCTCCTTAATTTAAAAAAAAAAAAAAAGTAAACCCTTCCACCATTAGGTGTACTTCTTTGACCCAAGCCTATAAACAGTGCTTTGCCTCGAGCATTTTCTATAAAGAGAGGAATAGTGTGATTTCCCTGGGGGAGGAAGAGTTCCTGGCTGTTGTTGCTCAGAACTCTCTGGCATGAATAAAATACAACCAAGACCTGCACAAAAGCATTCACAAGCCAGAGATGGCTTACATTTTATAGAAAAGGTGCTAAGCGAGCTTTGCTCAGGAGTGGTATCTGGAAAGCCTGTTAAGGCACCCCTTCCTCCCCTCGGAGGTGGGCCCTGGAATTGCCAAGTTTTCACTGGTTAAGCTGTGGAAGGGAATGTCGGCAGAGGCCAGTGAGCAAAGTTAGGTCAGGTTAACCCTGCAGCACCTGGTCTGTTTGTAGACTCAAGTACTTGTCTTCCAGCCAGTAGGTTGAGTGGTGGCAGTGTAGAGCACGGAGTAAATACATACATGGTGCTTTCTGCCCTCATGGCTTCCCCAAACAATAGGGATGAAGGGCATCCGAGAGCCAGAAAACAAACATGAAATCAGAACTTGGAGTAAAGGGATAACCGTATACAAGCAGCTTCTCTGGTCAGGTAAGAGAATCCTCATCTGGTCAGTGATCCAGGAGGGTTTTCCTGAGGGACCAAGACCTGTAGGATGAACAGCACTGGGCAGGTGGGAGGAGGGACAGTGGACTGCCTGAGCGCCCGGGAGTAGGGGAGGAGCAGGAGGGAAGAGGAGAGAGATGTCTGAGAGGGTAGGGCTGGTCTGTTGGAGACCAGCTCCAACTATTGAGGTGTCTGGAGGCAAGACAGGCAGGACCCTAAGGTGGGAAGGCGTCGGCGAGCAGAGATTCTTAAAAAGGGGAGAAGGAAAAAAAGGGGAAAAGGGGGTGAGGAAGACAC